CGGGTCCGCGCTGCCGGTGCTGGGCTGCGAGCGCTGGGTGACGGCGGGGGTTTCTTTTTACAGGGCTGCGGGAACCGGTCCCGTTCACCGGGTAAGTTTGTGAGGACAACGCGGCATCTTCCTGTGAGCTTTCAAGGCCAGGATAACTCGTTTGTTACCGCACCGAGCAGAGACTTGAAAGTCTGGCTAGAAGGTGGAGAGGTTGAGGAGCGGATAGCCGTAGTGCTGATGGCATTTTAGAGTTGGCTGTGGTACACTCCGTAAAAACACAAATGCTTAGCGGCTTTGGAGTATTTCGAAGGTAACGTTGTGGTCTTATGTCTTACTGCGCTATGAAAAACTCGGCTTCTGCTTTTTGCAGCACCTGACAACATGAAACGGGTGATTCTCTGCTCCATTGCTCATCTCTTTTCTTTCTTTTCTTCTTCTTTAAGGGGGCCGTGTGTTACAAGTCCTCTGTACTTGGACATACCTTAATGCTGGTTTTGACGATCCTTTCTTCTAATGTGTTGAAGAAATTTTAACTGTTGGTTGCGGGGATGATGACGCCCCATGCTTTGAATTCCTCTCACTGCTAAAGCTTTAGCTAACATTAAAGCTACTTACACTTCTAAAATTATAATACATTCACAGTTTTAAAGAGTTTTGGGGAAAAGGTTTAGATAGGCCAGATGTTACTCCAGTTAGGAAGATACCTGCTGTTGCTCCTAGAATCACCCTAGTTTGTGTAAATGAAATAAAGGAGCAGTTTGCTGGAGTGGGGCTCTTCTTGAAAAGTAAATACACTGTCTGACTATATTGCAGAAGTTTTTGTGAAACCTGGAGCTTCACTTCCTCTTTCTTAAAGGCTTATAGAATAATTCTGGACCTGTCACACATAATAAGTTCAGAGAGGGGAGGGAAAAAAGCTTACAAATCGTATCTTGCATTTGTAATAGTCATTAATTCCTTGGTGAGAAATAGCTGCCTCATAGTTGAGGTTACTAATGATTTTTTAATTTTTTTTAGAGAGAAATATGATACATAAAGAACAGGTTTAAATACTGTTACGGTAGATGTACAGTAGCTTAGAAGGAAAACACAAGTAGAAGTTACACCTGGCAGTTCCTTGTATAGAGTAAGCAATGAGCAAATAGGAATGTTGAAAGGCTTAAAAGTCTTCCAGCAACTCAACAGGGTGGAAACTGTAGTAAAGGACAGGTGGGATGAAATTATAATTACAGCAGAAAGCAAACTTCTGGTCTGAACAGTGATGTGTAATAAGGATTTAGAGCTGCAGAGGACTCTTAAATGTGGAGCTGGAATTGTTCAGGTACCTGTTCTTGAACATGAGGAAAAATACTGATTGTCACGTCTTGGAATGCAGAATTGTAATAAGACACACAGAACGATGGAATAATTTCTTAAAAGAGAGAAAGCAATTCTTCCTTTTACTTAGTCTGGAATTAAAAAAAAAAAATCTCGTTGCTCATTTGCTTTAATATTTGAAAACCAACGACAATATATGAGAAGCTTTTGAAGCCAGTAGGGAAATACACTGTTGACTTCAGTGGTTGTTTAGACTGGTTATTTTGCTGTCAACCTCTGTAAGGAAGATGTACATAATGTATAGCTAGTTAAACTGGTGCCAGTACAATTATTTTGTGTTACATGCCTTATCTTTGTTAATTTTTCAGGTGCATCTGATTACCTGGTGGAAACACTTTGAAGTATCAACAATGAACTCGCTGTTAAGGTTATTTTTTTCTGGAATAGTTGCCTGTTGCGCTCACTCCACTGGTGATTCGGTATCCAGGGTACTCCTTGTGTCCTTTGATGGCTTCAGGGCTGACTACTTGGAAACCTATAAACTTCCTCATCTTCAGGAGCTCATTGAGGATGGTGTGCTTGTAAAACAAGTTATGAATGCTTTTATCACCAAGACTTTCCCAAACCATTATACCATAGTGACAGGTTTATATGAAGAAAGCCATGGCATCGTGGCTAATGACATGTACGATGCAGATGCCAAGAAAAAGTTTTCACAGTTCAATGATTCAGATCCCTTCTGGTGGAATGAGGCTGTTCCAATTTGGGTAACAAATCAACAGCAAGGAAATGGAGCAAGTGCTGCTGCAATGTGGCCCGGTACCGATGTAAAAATTAACAATACGACCCCTCAATTCTTTATGAAGTATAACTTTTCAGTAACGTTTGAGGAGAGAGTGGAGAAAATTGTGGCGTGGCTGAACAGCTCTAATCCAGTAGTCAGTTTTGCTACATTATACTGGGAAGAACCAGATGCAAGTGGGCACAAGTATGGACCAGATGACACTGAGAACATGCGCAAAGTATTAGAAGAAGTGGATAATCATATTGGTTTCCTTACTAATAAACTGAAGGCATTAGGTTTGTGGGACAGTATTAATATCATCGTAACAAGTGATCATGGAATGGCCTCTTGTTCTGCAGAGAAGCTGATTATCCTGGATAAGTGCATTGGTCGCAATAACTATACTCTGATAGACAAGAGTCCAGTTGCTGCAGTGCTGCCAAGGCAGAGTATGTTTTGGGTTCTTTTTAAGTCGTACACTGAGAATTAAATCTTGTTTATCTTGCTACTAAAAAGTACACACTATGGTAGACTGTTCACATCTTTTGCAAAACCAGTGTAGTTCATATTGCAGAACTTTGACATAATTTAGTGAATAAGCTAAAGAATGTTTGATTATTTAGAAATTACTTTGTTTTGGTGATCAACGGGCCAAGAAGAGTTTCTTGTCAAATTGCTGTGGGTGGTAAAGATGGTCCTGGGACAGCTCGTTGAGAAAGCAGATAGGCACTTAGTACGCACTTAGTACGCCTGCTGTCTTCTTGCTCGCTTAGTCTATATAGTTGTAATTCACAGTGAGCATGAAATAAACCCTCATATTTATTCAGAAAAAAAAAGTCATTGTCTAAACTTCCAACTAAAAATCTAACCCCAACTTTGATCGCTTTACTGCTTCTGTTTCTTTGAATGAAACTTCAGGTTTTGTACTGTGAATTCAGTTTTTGTATCTTGGAGCGGTTGCTAACAGGCATGTCTTAAATCGTGACACTGCTGGTCTCAGTTTCCACAACTGTGGCCAGACTGAAGCAATTCTGATGAACAAAGTGATTTATACAGTAACAAAATCTAATACTTAACTGCTTTGGATAAGATATTGACTACTTTGGTATGTGATTGATTTCTCTGCTTGAATTTTGCCCTCCTTCCCTGCAAATCCAGAGGGTAAGTTGAATTGTAAGTCCAAAACCACAGCCATGAGATGCCTGATTTAAAATGAGAGCAAATTGTGAAATCCACCTCAATACATGTACCGTTTCGTTAGGGACATGAAAAAATCCTTTTCTATGTGCCTTTTAAAAAATAATTGTTTTGAAAAAAAAGAATCTTAAGTTTAATGACAGATAATTGCAGTAAACAGGACATAATTTCTAGCTGTTTCACATGCAGGTTTTCTTTCTTGGCAGATAAAAGAGACGTGTATAACTTACTGAAAAACTGCCACGATCACATGAAAGTATATCTCAAAGAAGAAATTCCAGACAGATTTCATTATCGTCATAATAAGAGAATTCAACCCATAATTCTGGTTGCAGACGAAGGCTGGACAATTGTACAAAACGAGTCACTTTCAAAATGTAAGTGTGTTTTCCTCATTTGTGCTGGTGGTGGCTTTTGTTGGTAAACTGTCTTGGTTTTATTCTAGCTATATGTAGGATGGGCCTCGTTCAGTGAGTGGAGTCCTGGCATTGTGCATCTTTAGGAACATCTCGGTATTTTCTAGAACATTCTCAGCCTGAGCCTGGAGTGTTTTAACAGATGGTGAAGAGATGGGTGATAATCTGTTGGCTAAAACACTTTGTCCTGTTCAACTTTTAATAGCCTGAGGTATGCTTTTAAGAGTCATCTCAGGCAAGTTAGCAACCTGTCTCAAGCTTCCACTAGAGTGTGGTTTAACTATTTTTTTGTATATAAAATATAAATATAGGAGAGCATAAATTGAAGAATGCAAGACACAATATTTAATGTTACAGTACATATACTAGGAAACAAATGTAAATGGGAGGAAATACTAAGAATAATAGGAACACAACAATAATGGCCAAAGCAGCTGGAGTTCTTCCTGTTAGGGGCATCCAATAGCATGTTTTAAAGATAAAAACAAATCAGATGTTAACTTCACATGGTGCATTGCTAAGCTATGCACTTTCTTGCTGCTAGATGCTATGAATGTCAAATTACATACATACATACATGTATATATATGTGTGTATATGTATGTATATATATTTCCAGGTGTTTCATGTGCAGGATTTTCTTTGGCAGACAAAAGAGATGTGTATAACTTCCTGAAAAAATGCAACAGTCACATGAAAGTGTATCTCAAAGAAGAAATTCCAGATAGATTTCGTTATCATCATCATATGAGAATTCAACTCATAATTCTGGTTGCAGATGAAGGCTTTGTGTTTATGTATCTGTGTGTGTTCAGAAAGTGACTGGGCAAATTCTTGGGAGAAAAATCCTTTAATAGAAATTAAATACAAATGTACCAACTTCCAGGAAATTTCTGAGCAGCCAACAGCACGAGGCTGGTTGGTTTGTCAGGGCTCACCCTCTTGGATACTTCCCAGACTCCCTGTTACGACTGCTGTCAGAGACAGGATGCTGGGTGGTGTAAGCTCCTGTTTTCACCCAGTTTGGCTGATCTTACTGTCTGCCCTTTGCACATTTAAGTTCAAATTTTCTCATTATTTGTACAAAAGTACTGCTTTTAATGTATGCTGTGTTTATATTTTAATTTCCCCACAGATGTGCTACAATCATCTTCAAACTGACAACGCTTGGTACATGTATTCTCTAATAGAGGTCTTCCTTGTTTATGGTTAGATGCAATTTCATGTACCTAAAAATAGTTAATACGTGTATATTTATAAGTAACAGCATTGTATCAGTTGAAGTGAATCACTTTTCAAAACAATTGTGCTAGCCAAGGTTTCCCAGAAGCAGGCAAGGGAGGTTTTAGCCGAAAAGGCTATTTAAGTGTTTATTGTACTTGTCTTCATGGACAAAGTGGCAGCCTAATGACTGGCAAGTGTACCGAGACCTACAGTATTCCTAGCAATGTTAGCAGACGCCAGCCCTCCTACTTCAGAGGTGAGAGATAGGAGACTTCAATGGAGAGGGGATTTGGAACAGCTCTGCTCAAAACATGCAAGTAGTAGAAAAAAAAAAAATAAATCAAGAAACATAGGACTGCATTAAAACAGACAAGCAAGATGTGGTGCAGTAGTATCTTTGCGGTAACAAACATAATGATGGAAAATACTAAAAAGGAATATTGGAAATATACTGAAGTAGTGAGTGTGACCTAATCAATAGGAATGTTGACATTTCACATCAGAAACTTCAATGAAGCAGCCAAGAAGATGGTCCTCGGCGACTTATTAAACTGCTACTAAGAAATGAACTCAAAACTTAAATGCAGTCACTCCAATACTGTGCTGCATGTGCTATGAGAAATTTTTGGCATCTTGGACAGATTTTTCAGGCATGTTATTAGGAAATTTGACTATGGCTGCTTTTTAGCTGTTTATATTCCACCCAAAATCAGAGTAAGTATTTGCTATAAGCCTACCAAATGTCCAAGTAGTGGTGACCTTGTAGGCACAAACGTTTTGTTGTATGCCTGTCACAGGTATCGTGATCCTTTGACTGTTTTTTGGTTTTGACTATTTGGGTATCCCTTCAGGTGAAGTACCTAATCTGGTAAGCATGATTTGAGGGCACTTAATGTGCTCAAACTGAACGCTACCAAGGGGAAAGTGCTTGGCTTCTAAGAAGTAATTGAAGTGTCTGCTTTGCAAGGGGGAGATGTCTTTCCAAAATCTGAGAAGTACAAACTGGTATTCCAGCTACTGACTCATGGAGTGGCAACATCCTTTTCAGTTTTGGCATGAGGAGTGTGAAGGGGAAAACTGGAAATGTTGATGAACAAAAGGAAAAAGAGATAATGGGAGAGGCTGAAGACCAGTATGGGGAAAGACTTTTGGGGAAGAGGGAAGGAACTCTGGGTTCCTTCAGTGTTTGATCCAACAGCTGCTTTGATGTTCTGCATTAGTCTTTGGTTAAAATATATGCCTTTTGGGTGGGGGGGGAAGAGAGAGGGAGGGGAATACTCAATATCCAAACAGAAACTGTGATGCTAACTCTTAACCCTGGATTTCTCCAGTAGGTGACCATGGCTATGACAATGCTCTCCCAAGCATGCATCCGTTCCTGGCTGCTCGCGGGCCGGCTTTTCGTCGGGGTTACAAGCAGAGCACGATGAACAACGTTGATATTTACCCCATGATGTGCCACATCCTGGGACTGACACCACAACCCCACAATGGCACTTTCAGTAACACCAAGTGCTTGCTCACTGACCAGTGGTGCATAAATCTTCCAGAAGCTATTGGGATAGTTATTGGGGCTTTTATGATACTGACTACTTTCACCTGCCTTATAATAATCTCAAAGAATAGAGTACCTCCCCCACAGCCATTTTCCCGACTTCAGTTACAGTATGATGATGATGATCCTTTAATTGGATAGTGTGCAGGGAGCTTTGCCTCGCTTGCTAAACAGTGGTTTCAGGAAGAGAGTTCATATTTGCACTGGATGGCATTCTTTGATGCACTTTAACTGTATCCATATAAAATACTGTACAGCCAGATCTTGCTAACTTGTGTGTGCTACCTGACTAGTAGTCCTGTAACAATATTTTCAGAACAAAACGGTGAACAGGTGGCTTTCTGCTGGAAGAGATGCTTGACAAAATAAGGATGCTTAGTTTTTTGTTCAAGCCTTTGAACACTTTCAAAATGAAATTCCAGAGTATGAACTAGCCAGGATAGACTAAGTGATTTTAACATTTGTAAATGATAATTGGTTTTTTGTATTAAATTTAAATTAAGGTTGACTACTTTTAGTGTTCTTTTACTTGTATTGGAAAGAAGATCTTTTTTTGAGAGTTAGTTCATTTGTTAGTGAGTTAGTTCTGTTTGGACAGTATGTTCTAATTTGTTCTTAAATTTGGGGGTAGAGGGTGTAGAGAAGATCCCCTCTGTTTCCACACTAAGCCAGCAATATGACAAGAAACTGGTGAGAAGGAAGTCCGTGAGGAAAGAGTTGGTGCCTATCACTTCTATTTTGAGCAATAAAGTATGTGGTTCAGGAGTTACAACACTGGGCAGATGGCTCTGGCATTTCTAGACGTGTGTCTGCGGATGACTTAGTTCCACAGTTCCAGTTGAGCTGATACTACTTGCTTATCTCAAGGATGCTAATTTAATCTGAGCATCCTTGGATTACCCAGTTTTGTGGGCTGTAGTAGTAAAATTACTGCTCCATAACCCTGTGAAAAGTTCTTCAGGAGTAAACTCTGCTGCAGGTGTTTTTGTAATAAAGGTGGTTCTGCCCTGTGTACCCACTGATAATTATCTTTTCAAGGCTGTCATGTGCTAAAAGGCAACAATTGAAAGTTTGACATGAATCGTTAAGCAAGGATTCCAAACTCTTATTTTTAAACCCTGGAAATTCAAAGGGAAAAGTTAATTTCTTTTTTGAGATATGTTATCTGTAGTGTCTTAAGTTTTATAGATGCAAAGTTCTGGTGAAGACCAGTGCTAATAGTTCTCAAAACTCCTGATTCCTTGGTAATGGTCAGGTGTAGTAACTTGCCATAAAAAAAATTAATTTGATTTAAAAAGCCTTAGTGGTACCTTATCTCTCAGTGAGGAAAGAATGGGAGGTTAAACTGTTAATGCTAACCCAAAAAGAGAACTCTAGCTACCAAGTCCTTTTCCTACAAGTTTGATGGTTTTAAGAACTAGTAATCTGAAGTGAGAGAGCTGATCTACCTGGTAGCACACAATTTGTTTTTTTTGTTCACAAGCTCAAATTCAATGGAATTTATATTAGCCACAGACTACCTCTTAGTGATGCAGCTGGGAGGAGGCGTGGACTTCAGAGGGAAGGCTTACTTTTAACAGCCCAGTAAAAAAAAAATACATTGGTGTGGAAGTTTTGTATCTTCCTCTCTGAGAATTCTGTTTTACTGATTAAAAACACAATACCATACCTAATCTGTTCTGCTTTTTTTTTCTTCCTTCTTAAACTAGTAGTTAGTACTTACTGACTAGTGCTTTACTCTGGATTAATCTGAACTTGAAAGAGGCTCAGGCCCCTTGAAAAAAAATCTGTACTGTTACTGACAGTGTACTGGATCTTAGAGTTCATATAATAGAATGATAACTGAACACAGAGGTTGCTTTCTCATCCTGCTGGAAGATTTAAAGTAATTAATTACCTACAATGAGAGGTCAGGTTAATGAATAACTATGAAGCAAGTGTTTTGCAGGGTAGAACCCAGGTGTAGAGGTGCTGTAAAAGGGAGGATGCTTGAATTCCTACATCGGAGAGAGCTGTTTGTAATTTGCTAATAAAGGCTCAGAGGGTGGCAGACTCGCTGGGAGGCACTTTGCATCATCTATATATGGAACGGCTTGACTCAGCTGAGTTATCTTTATCTTTCTGGCACACTTGGTGAGACCTAACTCTGCTGTCTTCTACCTGTGAGGGTTTGGGGGTTTTTTCTAGATGCTAAAACTGATCTAGCACAGTAGATGCTGCTTTCTTCCCTTTCTCCTCCTTCCCTGAATAGTTGGCACACAGAGTGTGATTGATGTGCTTTCAGTTCCTCTGCGCATCATCATTGCAGGCCAGGTGTCAAGGTTGCCACAAAGGTTTTAATTACCCAAAATGTAAATGTTGACTGAAGTGCAATGGCAGCACTCTAATCTGAAATATGAGTATTGTTACAGATAGGGAAATCTGGGTCTTTTCTCCTTCAAGCTTTAGGTAACCCCTTCTGATAAGAATTGCTACAGGCAACTGAGCTCCTATGAAACCAGAAAGTGAGGGGTAGTATCAAGCAGAAATCCTTACTACTCTCTACTCCTCTTCCCTTCAACATTGAGACTAATCAGTGCTATTATGGGAAGGGTTTCAAGGGAAGGTTTAAGTGTCAATCAAGAAATAGGATGAACTATATTCCAGTTGCATTGCTAATTTCAGTTCCAAAGATGTAGTATCATCTATATGAGTGCCCAGTATTCTTCCTGGCACAATTCGTTGCTGCTGGCAGGAAGAGTTTCAAAGTAGCTCTGGTACATCCAGGATTTCATACAGATCATGTACAAATCAAGAGAATCTAGAAAAACACCTCTCTCCATAGACACAAAGTTGATAATATATCAAGGTGATGATTTTTAAAAGTGTTAGTGCCTTAAACAATAAAATATTTCCACTGCCTAATTACAGTTTGTATGAATTATTGCTTGTGAAAGCCAGCAACTGATTTCCTTTTGAATAGCTAATTCAAAACAAGAACATGAGAAGCTGTGATAAAGGACACAGATCTCATAAGAGTTTGTGGCAACATTTAATGACTTGCTAATTATACCCAACTCTGCAGTGTTCATACAATGCACATTAAGTGTTAACTTCCCCTAAATTAAACTAGCCCTGAAGTTTAGAAGGGGCTAGGGGAAGCTTGTAACACCACTTCCCAGCAGTAAAGACTGATGTTTCATTATGTTGACTGCCTCCATGAAGAAACCCTCAATGCTGGGTAGAGAAGCCTTAAAACATCCACTCCTCTGGGTTTATGTGCTTTTTGGCCATTAGCACCAAGGAAACAGCTCCAGAATTGAGCCGATTTCAACTAAGTATAGATCCAAAACACTTCTTTCAGGAGGAAGTTTAACTTGCTATAAATTGAAAAGAACGTACTGCCTATGAAAATAAACCAACAACATCATGTACCTCCAAGAATCAGACCACAGGGACAGATGTTTGCTTTAATATGCATGGTACCATCTTTTATTGCAAAAACCAGTAATAGAGATTTGTTAACTTAATATAAATCAGATTAGGATTTCACTATGGAAAGGCTATCTGTTTGCAATGCTGCAGAGACTGCTATTGAACTTACCATTTTCATGTGCTTGCAACAATTTTTGTAGCCTAGCATCTTAGAGATTTGTTAACTTAATATAAATCAGATTAGGATTTCACGATGGAAAGGCTATCTGTTTGCAATGCTGCAGAGACTGCTATTGAACTTACAATTTTTGTAGTCTAGCATCTAATAAATGCTTATGTTACTTTTACTGTAGTACAAACATGCCATTTCTTGAAAGGTATGTACAGTAGCAGAGGTATGGTCAAGACAGCATCCATGGCCATTATTTAAGCAGGGAAGAAGATCTGGAAGTAAGCCTGTTATATTTGCATTTTTACAGAACAGCAGGACTCAACAACTGCACGTTTGTCATTCTTCCCACACATGGCTCAAGACTGTGGTGCTCCGCACTTCTGACAAGTCACGCTGCGCAACCCTTCATCTTCTAATCAGCATTTTTGTGTGCTTTTTTTTTTTTTGAGACTGCATTTATTGTAAACAGCATTACTGCAGCTCTTTACCAAGAAAGTCTGGAAGATTTTTTTTTTTATAAAAAGAAACTGTATTACCATTACTGGTAACAGATAGTTGTTATTTTCATATACAGTAGCAAAGTGGGAAACGAGGTCTTTTATATAAGAACTTTGACTTAAAATTCTTAAGTTTATCACACTTCCAATTATTTTTAATAAAGGCATACACTATGCCAAGTGCAAGAAATATCTGGGATGCATACGAGTTAAGGCCGTTCTCCCCCCAGCCATCCTCCCCCAAATTCAAGTTTTTTTTCCAGATGCATTTTTAAATAAAGTGAGCACTCAATGCTTGATAGCGCTATAGCAAAGATATATTTCAACTTCAACATTTCCAAACAGAAAGAAACAAAGAAAACATTTGACATCTCCAAGTATATTTCACAGGTCAATACTGAAAGACAAAATCATGCAAGCTTCTCAGTTTCCAAGCTTACGTTACAAGTAGCATACACTGTACTCAAATCCACTTTTCAATAAACTTGTTTGTAAATCATAAAACGTATCACATACACAGAAACCAAATCCCACATCCTCCCCAACCAAAAAGGTAGTCTGAAAAAAATCTCACATCACATCAGAGAAAAAATTGATCTTTTCCTCCACCAGTGGCATCATACCTGCTTTCAATTTCATTAAGCATACACCCAACAACTTAAAACAGTGTTTAACACCGGCTAGGCAAATACACTAACAAGATAACTACGCAGGAGTTACCTGTAAATACACCTAAGCAATAAAGGAAACATGTTTAAACCTAAACCTACCTGAATGCTGAAAGATTCCCTTCAGTTTTCTACAAAGTTTCATTTTACCCTCCTCAAAGAAGGGCCTTACAGTGCAATACTGAACAATGTCATTGAGAAAAATTCTCATGTTCATGTTCCCAGTCTATTTAGAAAACTATTGTTCCCAAACCCTTTGTCAGGGGAAACCTACTGCTCTTCCCTTGTTGCATGTTTGGGCAGGTAAGCCTAAGTCCCAGGGTGACTGAACAATGCTGACCAACTTTGCCCCCTCCTTCAAATCGAGGGTCACTTTGGCTGATGATAGAACTACACCTGTCACACTTTAAAAAGTGGGAGTTTAATGAACACCCCTGAGATTACAATCCAGTTATTCTTACATCTGCCATAAGCATTGCTATGAAATTACTGCAATAAGAAGAATTTCTATTAAAGCAACATGTTCCAAAGTGAGAAAGCATCTAACTGAAGTAGCTACAGGTGAGGATTATAGCATCTCCAATTTTCACTGTTACTCCCTTAACCAAGCCTGGAGATCTTTCTTTAAACACACACTAAGTTTGTGCTACAAATGCTTTTTAAGTTGCAGATAACCAAGAAAAGATGGACTCAATGCATCGATTTGCTATCTGCCATCTGCTTTCTGGAAAGTAGCTAGGGAAGTGATTAGTAACAATTTAGAGATTTAGGTTTTCTACTCGGACTTCCCCAGCATCTCTAGAAACTACTGTGAACATTATTACTGCCTTCGTCTTTCAGCTCGATAAGCCACTGCAGCATTCAGTTTTAGCCGGCATCAGCAAAGTAAACTTTAGACATACCCAATGGTCAGCTCCACTAAGCATCAGTTTTACAGTGTCAGGCACACCTAACCCAGACATTTTACTTCGGTGTTTTCTCAAGAAAATGGCAATGTAGCAAAACAAGGCAGTACACAGAACAGGAACAGCAGAATTGCCGAGATGAGTCAGATTAGGTTACACAAGACTTCAAACATAACCCCCAAATTAAGGGGCTGCCCTCCAACAGATGAGCTAGTTTCCTGCTTTCCGAGCGCTACTATTACAGCTAGACTTTCAGCACATACCTTAAGTTGGAGTATTTTGTTGCCTTCCCTCTCAAGCATTCACTGCACCTAGCTGTGGTCTCTGGAAGCTTTCCACATCTGTTTGCAAGACAGCAAAACACTAAGCAAGCGTCCCTGCCATCACGCAGGAATCCAACAGATTACTTCTGACGCAGTGAGCGCCAGCCAGTTCGTAACACAGCACCGTAGAGTCATCACTGAAGCAGCAAGAAGTAAGCTCACTTCTGAACTCGGCTAGATGTCATTAAGTCCGGAATTAAGTTCAGCAAAATGAGTTTTGTACTTCAGTTAGTCAGCTTGTTGTAGCTCCTTGCTAGGTTTGCCAGCAACCCTCCCCACTGCAGTATCAGACTGCCAGTCACACCGTTAGTTTGACAGAGCACATCTAAGGCCAGACGTTCCCATCTTTGCCCTCTGCTGGGTGCTGTGGATAAAGCAATAAATTGCACTTCACAGAAATACCAAACTGAGTATTTGTGTGAATTTTGAAGGAGTTTGTTTCTTCTTCAGGCGTTGTACTCAGAAGCAAAGGGCAGAGAAATACTAACTCACACAGGGAGGTGAAAAAAAATTCAGCTTTTAAACAAGTCTGACAACTAGACTACTTTTCTCACTTCATACCATGTTTTTCATACAAAACTTAGTCAGCAGCTTCTTACCTACCATTTAAGTGAGCTCATCAAAAAACCCACAACTACAACAGCAAGAACATTTATTGCCCCACACAAAAGAATCAGAGTAATACATAGTTTTGTTGACTCAGAATTAGTAGTTTTCCCTGACAAAGGCTTTCCTCTGGAAGAATAAACTCCAGCCTTATACCTTTTTTCATATTAAAGTGTGCTTCTTCAGATTTAAGAGTACATATGGCTTAAGATTTATATGGCTGTTCCTTAAATTCTGTGTCTAATCCTAGTCATCAAATTCTAAGGCCCACCCAGACATATCAGATAAAACGCAAGACAGCAAGCCAAACTCACACCAGAGAAGAGTCTCCAGTAACAGACGAGATGTGCACCCAGTGACAAGGTTGACAGCACTCTGAAACCACCGTGCACATATATGTTCCTTAACTGCTTCATCTGCCTTATTCTGAAAGAACCCTCTTATCACAGAAATATAAAAGACTCCATGTGGATATACAGGTGTTGTGCTTGTACATGTCTTAATCTGCCAGCTGCATGGAGTTCCTAGAAAATTTAGACCAGTGTACAGGAAACAACAGAAAAAGTGAAGACCTACATTTACCTAAAATCATAGGTAAAATTGTAAAAGACCTATATATGCCCCCCCACCGAAACAAAAAAAAACTCCCACAAAAACCCAAACAAACCCCAAACAAGTAGTTTAATGCTGATTGCTGAAGGCAATACCACCTAGATTCATATTTTGGGCCTATAGTTAACACAGCAGTTTAAAGAAATATGCCTAACACTAAACTTAGACACTTAGCACTGCATGACCTAGCTTAATAATAATGTTTTCTGCAGGATTTAATCCATTAAGCTATGTGTAATGGTGACCCATGCAAAAGCTTCCTTGGGTAGGAAAAAAAAAAAAAACACAAAACACAAAGAAGTCTAGTCACATTCAGTGACTTGTTAGAATCTAACAGACTTAAAAATACTCTCAAAGAAAAAAAAAAAGAGGGGGTGGGAAATTAAACCACCATGTAATAGGCTGTGATGTTATTTCCCTAAAAGTAGCTCAGAATGAGCTATTCAAGGTCTATTGCCACATGTCTACATACATATACAGCTTTCCAGGTTTACCTACAGTATCTTCAACCCCTGAAAGATTAAGTGGTCGTAGCGTGAAACAGAAACATGCTCTTTCTCTGCATCCTAGTATGGACGTACTCCAGTGTACAAATGGATCAGCATCCATTTCCTATTATTCCACGTATTTCTGCTGATCCATTTTTATTTTTTTTTTATAAGCTTATTTTAAGCATCAAACAGGAAATAGTACCAAGTCTTACTAATCTTGCAACAGCGGCTGGGCAGCTTCAGTATGTTGCATTTGCATGGTACCTGCTTGAGTGAGGATAAAATGCTTAACAAAAACTGCAATAAAAATCATAACAAGCAAGCCGCCCAGAAAGACTCCTACAACAGTAGCATAGGTGTCTGCTCCAAAGGCTACAGGAACTTCTGCAGCAAGTATGTCTTTCACAGCATTGAACGAACCATTGTTTGGCAGCGGGTTAATACCAAGTAGATGGCACAATAAGGGGTACAAGTCTGTAGCATTCATGACTTCTTTGGTGGCATTCTTTCTGAAAGCAGGCCCAACTGCCAAAAAAATTGGATGCATTTCTGGTAAGATGTTGTCATATCCGTGATTACCAACTAAAAATAAAAGATAAATAAAGGTCAATATTCTGCAGTTGTAAAACAAGCATTGAACCTTTTCCTAGAATTAGCATAATGCAGAAAAGGAATGGCCATCATTTATTCTTGCAAAGGTTTAGAAGCATCATTTTGATCAACACCACAAAGGTCTCCTAGCAAATACCAAGTCTCAGAACTACAAAAAGAAGATGCCTTAAAAAAAAAGAAAAGAGAGTGCACTATTTAAAAAGAAAAGGGAAAAAAAGGTAAGTTCACATAGCAGTAACAGCTCTGTCAACGGCATGCTATGCTACACCTGTTTCCTTGATTTTCCTTAAGGGAAAACTCCAACTTTGCAACTGGAACAGATTTCTTGGGGGAGGGGGAAATCCATGTAGAGACAGACTGACTGTTTGACTGCTAGTAGCAGACAGAACTTAAGCTCTGACTGCTTTGACACTTTGTCCAATTTTGTGCACTATCTACTCAGCAGTAACGAAAAAGTTCACAGATCTCCCTAGCAGGTTCTCCAGTACCCCCTCCTTACAGGGGCACTAAAAAAAACTCCAAACAAGTAAACAAACATGCAGGCACAAAAAAGCTGCTCTCATCAGCTACCAACTACTGAGAAATTTGTTAAGTCTTGCAGGTAACTCTCTTCAGCTTCAAAACCAGCTGCAAAGTTGAAAAGCTTTTCAATTAAGAAACGTAACTGACCATGACAGCTATATTTTTACTCCTAGCTAACCAGAAGTTACAGTTTACCATCTCCATTCTACAATTAATAAATCTCAAAACCCCAAAATGAAGAACTTAAAAGTAGGTTAGTTTGGGTTTTTTTTGTTTGTTTGGGGGTTTTTTTGGTTTTGTTTTTTTTTTTTTTTTTGGGGGGGTGGTTTTTTTTTTCCCCTCCAAATCACCTAGAATGCACCTTATCCTATAAGGCAAATGAAAATCACTGGTGCACAGTAACACAATATTCAAAGACTCTAGCAGTAGAACAAGGTTACTATGAGCGTAAGCATCCACAAAAATTGAGGACTTTCAGAAAGCGTTCTTGTATTTCCAACCCAACCCTCCTCCAGTAAACAGATAGTATGTTATAAAACAATGCTATTCATCCTGTACTCCACAAGTTCAGTTACAACTTTTTTTTTTTAAATCTCTCAGGAAGTGCTTGTCAATTTGCTAGATCTTGCAAGAAGGTTCAACTATGTGGCCACTAAAACATGAGAATGATCTTATCTCAGTAAGTTTAATTTTTAGAAACGGTAAGTCCAGCTCCCCCTCCCCTAATAGCAGGGTGCTTTCCATCCCATCAGGAAAAAGTTACAAATTCTACACACTTAACTTCAGAGTCTTTCCTCCCAGTCTTAAAAAAAAAAATTAACATTGGTTGAGACAGAGAGAAAGTACCATGTAAACTGTCTGACTAGGAAGATATAGCAAAACACTGTAAAGATAGAATACTTACATTGAAAACTGTCAGACTTATTATATACAATTTCCCATCCTTTATCAGCCACTACTAATATCGGCTGAATTTTACTGTTGTGTTTGTAATGTAATCTATCTGGAATCTCCTCCTTTTTATATACAGTCATGTTGGGATGAGCATTGGCCAAAGCTTCATACACTTCATCCAGTTTGCCTTCAAACAAATAAAAGAAACAAAAGACAAGACTTAAAACATACTAGTACGTTTACAGAACTCATCAGTAAATACAACTGAAGAAGAGGGCAAAATGCACTTCCCCAAAAGCTGATTATAGCTGTAAGTGACAACAGCGGATTACAATGCTCACAGAAGTTACCATGAGAAATCCAGAGCGTCATTCACAGTATGATCACACCTGGCAACAGACTTCACAGCCTATTCCTAAGTAGTAAGTGCCTTGCTCATTTTAGAAAAATCCCTCATCTCACCGTTACCAGAATGTAAGCTTCTCACAAGAATGAGTGAGAAGGCATTCAGTGAAAGCTCACGGAAAAGAAATCAGCTCCTCCTAGCTCCATGCAAAGCTTGAAACCAAGAAGATAGCTCCTAAACCTGCTTATGAGGTTATGTGCGCATTAAGGCTGTATTCTGTCTTTCCTCCAGTTGGCTATGGTGACAAGCGACACTTACTTTAAACCAATTGAACTGTTAGTTGCTTTCCTTTAAAAGGCCAAAGAGAGCAGCCACTTTGTTTCTCAGCATCTCTGAAAACTTATTTCTTTTTATAGAACCCAACTATTTATTCCTCCAAGATGCTCCAATAAACAGCTACATATTTGATCTCATTTGATTCCCAATTTTGATCTTCTACCCCTTTGACGACAAGTTTAGCCAATTTAGAACAAGTAGCTAGTTTGTTGCTATGCACCATGTAACATCATAGTATTGGCAATTAATTGCCTAAAGATAAGCAAAACTAGCTTGCATTAATCTTTCAAGGGAAGCCCTGAGGTCACAGTCCCGATGCCACTAAGACATTAGGAGCTGTACAAAGATTGCAGAGGCCTAAGGAGGGAACACAGGACAAACATATGAAGGGACAGGCTGGACTGGCAAATGATGGCAGCACTTTTAGTCTAGAACTGTCAGCCACGCTGTGTATTCAGTAACAGCTAACAGCCCTACCTACTCCTTTGTATTCTTCGCGTCTACTCATTTCCCTTCCCTTCTACCGCACAGTGAGTGTAAACCCTCAAGAGCTGTACTAACACTACCAAACAAATAGGTATTTTCCACCCCCAATTCTTCATTTGCTTATTTCCAGTTTCTGAGCTTTTCTTTCCGGTAAAGGTCACTGAACAGCCAGAAAGCAGCTGGACAAGCTGGGACACCAGCGCACAGAAAGGAGGAACCAGGACACGCAGACAGGAACACAAAGGCAAGTTCAAGAATCTCCATCTGAGCAAGTTTCTTCAAGCCCTCCTGCCCTGCTCCATTTAAGCACAGATTCCCATTGCAAGCTATGCAGTGTATACAACAGACTTCTGTTACATACCAAATAACTTGGCTCCATGACTTATTTCAGTACTTTGTGCGACACACGTGCACAATTCAGTTGGACAGCTGAGTTCACAGCTAGTCTCTGCAGGCCAGTTCCAGTGCTACAAGGTCTGAAGCATGGTTCAAAGATATTTACATTTTCTTTGTGGCCAACACTGCCGTTTTTAGCAGATGAGTGGAATTTAAGCACATCCTGTCATTTCGACTTATCGTTTCTCGCTAGTTCTGCCTTCACAGCTAGCTGTACATCCTGCAGCAGGTGTTCCTGCAAGTGAGCACTTCTCTGAATGTCTGTCCCAAGAAACAATCACCTTGATGACCACAAAAAGAAGTGCTTACTTTGACCCGAGACCTCACCTAAAGCAAACCAAGGATAAAATTTGGTCTACCATTTGCAATGTGCATGGAGTTTTGAATGTATCTCATGAAAAAAAAGTTTGGGAGGAGGTGCCCAATGTCTTCATTTTCCCTCTCAGTTCCTAGGATCCAGTATAGAAATTCTGGATGAAAACTGGAAGTAGATTAACGTATAATATTTTTTATCTCAAACTGGCATAAAAAAAAAGAATCACTAAGTCTTAAGAAACACAATAAAGGTCAAGATGAGACAGCAGAAGTCCAGATATGAGATAATTACAGCAACAAGAAAAGGAACTACAATCTATCATTTCTAGGACTATATTAGTAAGAAAATTAATATTGTTATGCCACTTTTCTATGTAGGATAACAGGGAGGAGAAGCCTCAAATACAGGAAACGATCACTTTACACTGCATTAAGTATTTGAATGAATATATTTATATTAAATGCAAGTAAAAGGCCAGCATCACCAGCTGTGCTACAAGTACCATCTTCGTGAACATACAATTAGTTCCACACACACTAATACACTAACATGGTTAAATAATGGCTTTAATCCATCTCTCAGAGAAGACATATGCAGCCAAACAGTTAAAGTAGCAGAAATTGCTGTATTTTTAAGCACTCAAAATTTTTCTCAATGTCTCACTAAGTTTCACCATTCCCTTGGTTTAAAGCAAGACAAATGGAATAACTGTTGAAGAATCAGTATTATGTACTTTATATGTTATTTCATAGCTAAACTGAGAACAAAGCTCATTGTTTTATTATAAAAGTTACAGTTGGTAACACGGAAGGAAAGAATTTTAGTCGCGCTTAAAACTAATTCTTGTTTATTGGTAGTGTAATAAATATCTGAACCTCTGGGCAAAACCAAATGCAAGCTATTTCTCAAGCCCACTGAAATGGCTTTTTTACTATTCTGTCATCTAATTGTTGCAGAGATACTATTTCTTTTCAGCATTTAGCAGACAGGAGAATCAGGTTACACATCTTCAAGTTCTCATTTACTACATTAGGGATGTAAACTTCAGTGCTGAAACTTTTATAACTCCTGTATTTGGTAATGAGAACATCCTGGTCAGCCGTGTTTGTCTCCATCAGGATGGAGCTCCCAAACTCAGCTCTTCCATCACCACCGAGAGAAACAGCACCCAGCTACAAGCACCTGAGTGTGCTCAGGTAGCAAATGATCTCCGTTTGGACATACTACCATTTTAGTCTGGAGTATTCTTCAAACTAAAAGTGACAAGAGACTTTTTTGTTTTAAAACACATTTAAAGGTCACTTTAGTCTGCAAAATACCCTCCCCGCTGGGGCATTAAATAGAGTGCTATCCATAGTGATGTGTTACAGGAATCTTAAAAAACGCCTTTTCAGAAGGCCACCTTAAAACTCAACTTCCAAATTAGCACCCCTGCCTACACAAAAAAATGCTGTTTTCCAGGTTAACGAATTCGTACCAAATAGTTACGGCTTTTGATCATCAAACTAAAGAGCAGCACCTCTACGTCAGTGACACTAAACATATACCTGACCCTTAAGCAACCCTTCAGTGACTGCAACCAGACTTCAGATTTCAATTCCAACAGTCTTCTTACCCAGCATTATCACAATAAAAATGGTATGAACATAACTGGCTGTTCAGCATGATGGGGGGAAAAAAAAAAAACTACAGTGAACTAGAATAGCTGGCAGCTGATCAAATAGCCAATGCAGGCTTTCTTTTTATCAAAGGTCCCCATCTGGTTTCAGTTCTTGTTTTGAGTTACAAATCTAGTTCTCCCGCCATGGCTTCAGCATCTTTATGAAAGGCAAGATATGTAACATTCAGTTGTTATCTACCTAGAACACCACTCATCCTTGATAATGCCGTTAGATTATCTTACTTCTCATAAGGACTAAACGATATTGGGCAATATTAGTCAACAACAGACAGATTTGCTGACTTGTCATTTCAGAAGTTAATCCAGCCTTTTGACAGAGCTAGCAAAAAGAACAGAGAAGTGATCCTGCAAGTACCCCTTGTTCATGGCTCATGTCCTACTGGCATCAGTGCTGCTATCACCACTTCAGTTAAGGAACGAGATCTATAGAGTTTCGATACTCAAGTATTTTCTTCAGAGAATTTTACTGCTATAGCTCCTACCTTCTTTTGGCAAAATAGCTACTGCAGGAGAGTGGTCAATGACTTTATAGAGCTCTCTGTTCACGTACTGATCAAGCTCAATGAGCCTTTCGGAGGAGGATTGTGACATTCCATGATCACTTGTGATTATGACATTTATCACATCCCACAGCTTCGCTTTCTTCAGTTCCGACATCAGATATCCCAGCTTTTTGTCAGTATCACTAATTATCTGTCCCATAAGTGGGTTTTCTGGGCCCAGAATATGGCCCATCTCATCAGGCTGTTCCCAATATAGGAGACCAAAGTTTATGGGTTCTTCTGATGTAAACCAGTCAATAAGTCTAGCAACTCTATCTTCAAAGGAAACAGATTCATCGTAAGGCATATAATACGTAGGAAAGACTCCATGTATTTTCACATCTGTTCCAGGCCACATAGCTGCACCGGTTTTATGTCCTTCCCTCTGGTTTGTTACCCATATTGGGCTGGCTTCTTCCCAGAACTTGGAGTTATGGATATTCATTTTGTTCGGAGAGAAAGTTTCATTCAGAATAGGATCATACATCTCATTAGCAACTATACCGTGGCTTTCTGCATAGAGACCAGTCACCATTGTATAATGATTAGGATACGTTTTTGTTACAAACACATTAATGACCTGTTTGACATGAACACCATTCTCCATGGCATAATGAAAATTGGGAGTTGAGACTTTATAGATATAATCCCATCGAAATCCATCAAAAGATACTAGCAAGACTCTGGGCTGAGCTGGCTGGAGAGACAATGCACTTGGAAGAAATAGTAAGAAAATTGCCAGGACTTTCCAATAACAGTTCATGGCTATTCTGGAAGGTATTCGTCCCCTCTTCTGAGGCAACGCGGCATCTGTTGAGCAGAGACAGAAGATTCATTTGTGTTAACCTGTTTGTCAAAATCATAACTTAGTTTTAAGAATGAGTAGCTAAAATGCTTCTTATGTATTTACTCAGCTTGCCTTACTAACACTGAGCACTCCAAAAACAGGAACGAGACCTTTTACCTATCAGTTGATATCCCGATTTCAAAGATGGGAAGCGAGACACTACAATTTGTTGAATGAAACATAGTTCGCAAAGCAACTTCTTTACTCAATACCACTGCCCAACGTCTTCCTTTTTTCTTCCTGCTCCCAACACACAGGAACTCCTGCTCTTGCAATCTGATAAGTTTTCAAGTATTTTCTGTACTCGAAGTTCTAAGAAACTGTCCTATAAGGAAGCTTCTGCTTGTTAAGATGTAAACAAGGGTGGTTTTCACCTTGAGAATAACAAGGTCCATCTCCACCAGAACTTTATAACCCTCATTAAAATCTCTGGAGCGTTACTTCTGCGCAAGTGTGGCACAGACACACTAGCATTGCACGGCAGAGCCGGGGACGGCAGCAGGAAGTACACACTGGGACTGGAGGACTCTGCACCGGCACAGCTCCCATCAGGGAGGGGGGACCAGCCAGAATCCATCACAGCTTCTCAGCCCCCACACTCGGTATGGGATTACTAAATGTGCCGACTACAATTTCTAATGGAGAAACCAGCAAATAAGCTTTGAATTTCAGACACAGCAGTACATCTATTAAAAGCTTTTGCTCTGTGAAAGGTGTCAGATCAAGAGTTAGACAAAGAGCAGGAACATCAGTTTCCCAACATTTTATCACATCTCTCACCTGATCATATCTTCCCTACATAACCAAGCTCTTATTCATCAACTAATTCTGACACTTATTACCTAAGATCACTTCTAGCATACACACAGCTTTACAAACAAGAACATATACAAGTCAGCATGCAGTTTAAGTTCTTCTAATTAACCAGTTACGTCCCTGAATGGATTGCAAAGACGTGGTTGAAGGATTCAGTGGTACAGTTGCAAGCCACTGGAAATACGTTATCTTTCAAGCACGCATCATCTGTCCTTTCCAGTCAAATACCACCACTACCTAAGCACAAGCAGCATGAAGTGTGCAAGACTCAAGAAATATAATGTAAATCCTGTCCATGAACTGCACGAGATGGTGACCACTACACTCTGTGCCCTAAAGCATTTGGTCCCTAATTCAGCACTAATTCTGGTCATATGACTCAAGGTTATTGCCTATTCCTAGCTATGACTGGCATTCCTTATCTAAGAGCATGACATAATATGACACATAATTTCGTATTGTATTGTACTCCTCTGTCCCAGTTTTCCTCTGCCCTTCCCGAACGCTTTCTTGTTCAAAACTCAGTTACCTAACTCAAAGTAAGATCTCTGTCAGAACTCTCACACAGGATTTCCCTATCTGTAACTGACCTGCAATTTCCTGCAAACATTCCCCACTTCTTGCCCAACAGCATCATTTCGCCACCAGACCAGATTCTGCTCAGTCCAGTCCTGCATGTGGACCGTACTGATACTCCACGCAGTTCCCGTTAGATTTCCATTTTTCAGCAATCCTATGGAACAAGTCACTACTGAAATTCAGCTGGAAAACAGCTACTGTGTAACCAACAAATCCATATTAATGTCTGGAGTACATCAATATCTTCGTTAAAATAAAAAGTTACAGCGTAACAAGCATCTGAATACCACTACAATGATAGACTAGGATTTATCATTGTGGTAGAACACAAGATATCTTCCACGGGAAATTTTCCTACTCCATTCCCCAGTTCCTCAATTCCCCCCACTATATATCTCTCATATATACATTTACATTGGAAAACAGCATAGGCACTGTTGACTTGCAGCTAGTCGAATGTTACACTGAACTTACATGTCTCCCAAAATTAAAATCCTGGCCTAGAGTCCTGCTAAGAAAGACACGATACTTCCAAGGCGTAATTCCCCTTTCAGCAAACACCACAGACCCAAAAGCTGCAGAATCACTTGCTTTCACCCAACGTGGGATTTCTTTCAGCTGAATCTGAAGGAAGAAAGGGACAACACACTGTTGTGTCCACCTGGACCCCATCTGCCAAATTAAGTGTAGCCCATGGCTGAGTCATAAATTCTCCCTTCTGGGGAGTGGCAAGTACAAATTTAAGTCCTCTCAAGTGAAATCAGGTCCTTACTTCTGAATTTTACACAGTTAGTGATGTCAACATCACCTAATCCTTTAATTCAATATTTTTAATAAATAATAATTTTTTTTTCCAAGTCTTTCCTATACTGGTCTTCACTGGAT